GTCTCACATGTTCGACGATAATGTGTGCCATGTTGAAAAGGAAAGCCGCAGACGTTGTATGGACTTTTGACAGATAGGAAGACCGTGTCCCAGACGTCTGCGCGCGATGTTCGCCGACGTCTGGAGCACCGCGTCCCGCTCCTGTCACGCATTCCGCACCTTCGGCGATTGGATGAAACCATGATGTTGTATTGATGTTGATGGGTAGGTTGGGGCGTCCTGGATTGGCGCGCTTGCAGCTGGAGAGATGGGGGAGCGGGAGTATATGCACATAAGGATAGGGATAAAACGCGGAGTAGAAGGAGGAGGAGGAGGAGGACGACGACGACGACGCTTGCGTATGGGCTACCTCCGTGGATCTTGTTGACCGTGGTCAGTTGCCGACGGTGACCCCTGGATCCTCCTGCACATCTGGGCTAGCCCAGCAGGGTCAGCGGTTGCAAAAGCGAGCCTGCCGAACATACAGCCGGGGTCATGCGAAGGAACACCGCGCCTCCCCCCAGGGTGCCGTGGGTTTGGGGTTTCAAAGGGCTTTGCTATGAGAGACCGTCGAGACCCATATGTATTTTGAATAGTTAGGAAGCCGTGGTCTGCAGCATCGGGGTCTTCGTGGGAGGTGTTGATTGGCCGAACTGCTTCTGTAGCAGCCACGGAACATGCTCGGCGGATGCAAGCAGGCGTGAGTTTCCAGGCAGCTTCTGGGAGGAGCTCGCATTTCTCTTCACATCGAGATCGTGGCCAGAACGCAGCCCTGGATAGACTCAGGGAGCAGCGGCACCAGCGTCATCGTTTCCCCATCATCCTCCTGCGGTTCCTCATCCTCTTCACCCTCCTCCTCTTCCTCCTCCCGATCCGCGTCTTCGAGGCGACCTTAACCCCGATGGCTTCCTTGACGGAGGTCTGCGGACTCGAGGGCGCAAGATATCGAGTTTGCAGTGAGCGAAGCTGGCGAATTGTTCCTCCTGCAGGCGCGCGACGACGTAGCTTACCCTTGGCAGCCTCCAGGCCTGCGCCGTTGCCCCCACTTCTCCCTCCCACCTGCGCTCTTCTCTGCTCCGTCTGCTCGACGGATGACAGAATTCCCCCCCTGCCAAGTGGATCGGTGGATCTGGCTGGAGTGCTACGTAACCAGACCTTGCTCGCAAGGCCTTGATGATGTTTTTCGCGCTGCTGCTGAGTTGCCGCTTCAAAAGTCCAGCGCACCAGTCACTCGTCTGGTGGCCTCATGGAGAGCTCCACCTGCGATCCAAGAACGTTGACGTATGGCGGCTTCTTCTGTGGGGCACACCCGGCAAACGCCTCGTAGCCCCGCAGGGAGCAGCACCTACGGTCGTGGCTTGTATAGGCGGTTTACATTCCCAGTCTCAGTGGGCTTTGACGCATTACGATCGGTTGTGCTATTTCTAATGACTCGTGGCCCCACACGCAGCTCCACCTACCGCCTCAGTGGGCGCGGATGTATGTTAGCCATCCCCATCATGAGGTCATACCGCTTACACGCTTCGTGTCCTTATTGAAATTCCCTTTGGGAGGTCTGAGTGGGGCCTCCTCAAGTCATCAGAGGAGGGTTCCCTAAAGGTCTGGTGTCAGTCTGCCGCGTTGGTCTGCCATACTGGTCAGCCGTGCGGGCCTACCATGCTGGTCTGCCATGCTGGTTGGTTTGCCATGTTGGTTTGGTTTGCCTCAAAGGTTGTTTTTGTGGCCTGTCGTGTTGGCATGATGTCTCGCGCGGCCTACGTGGCTAAAGCTGGTTACAATGGACGTCCAGGGAGCACCAATGAGTTTGAGGCCAAAGAAGATTTCAAGAACTATGTGTGAGGTGGGAGGTGGGAGTCACCGAAGCTCATGCGTTGCACTGGGTCTCGAGTCGCACCAAGGATTTGAAGTCACATTGCTTGGTCTACCGTTTGGTTCCCCCATTCGCTGGAATGCATCAGTGCCAGAGTTCGGCTGCATCGTGCGGCCATGCTCGGGAACCAGAGCCATTTTTGCCCGATCCTGCTTGCCCCAGCAAACGTCTTGAGGAATCTTCTTCCTGTGCAAAGTGCTGAGCCACTGAGTATTGACGATGCCTGCCAGCCCGTGCTGCCCTGACGGCCCGAAGCCAGTCGCTCCGCCAGAGGGGTACGTGGCTAGCGGTCGCGAGATTTCGGTCGGGGATTGTACGTGCTACGAGGTTGGCCAAGCCAGTGGCGGGCCAGCGGTTCTGTTGGTCTCCGATGTTTTCGGTTGGCACAGCGGGCGCACTCGTCAGATATGCGATAGGGTTGCAGACGCCGGCTTCCACGTCCTGCTGCCGAATTTCTTCGAGTGCGACGGGTGGGACCATTCCAAGCCGCTCATGGGTTACGCCACGCCATGGTATCGAAGACGCCTACGGCGAATCACCGCCGCCCCCTGCCTTTTTGGAAACGCCGATGTGGCCGAAAGTTGGACTAGAGCTTGGCCAAGCTATCGGACCATGAGTTCCCCGAGTCGGTTTGGAAAGCTTTCGGGGAACACATGGGAGAGAATGATTATGAACAGGAAGAGGAAGAGGAAGAAATAGAGTAGGAGGATGAGGGTTGTTAGGAGTCTCTTGGGGCACCCTTGGGGTCTGTTGGGGGCTTCTTGGGGGCCTCTTCGAGGCCTCTTGGAGGCATCTTGGGGGCCTCCTTGGGCCTCTTGGGGGCCTTTGGGGGCTTCCTGGGGGTCTCTTTGGCCGTCTTAGGGCGTTCCTGGTCCGTCTGACGCCGTCTGGAGCCGTCTTGGGGGCCTCTCTGGGCCGTCTTGGGGCCCTCTTGGGGCGCTTCAGGGCCGTCTTGGAGGCCATGTTGGGCGTCTTGGAGGCCTCTTGGGCCGTCTTGGGGCGCTCTTGGGGCCGTCTTGGGGGGCCCTTGGGCCGTCATAGGGCCTTCTTGGAGGCCTCTTGGGCGATCTTGGGGGCCTCTTGGGCCGTCGGAAGGCCGAAAAGAAGAAAACGCAAAAACCTTCAAAAACCTAAGGAAAACCAATGATTTTGGCCTCTTCGGGCCCTCCTGAGGACCTCTTGAGGGGCTCTTGGGCTGTGTTGGAGGCCTCTTTGGGGCCTCTTGGGCCATCTTGGGCCATCTTGAGGCTATCTTAGGCCGTCTTGGGTACATCTTGGGCCGTCTTGGAGGCATCTAAAGGCCATCTTAGCCGTCTTGGAGACCATCTTGGCCATCTTGGAGGCATCTTGGAGGCCAGTTCGAGCCATCTTGGAGGATTTTTTCCGGTCGTTGAGCACGTTTGGGGGCCTTCCGGGTGGCCGGCGGGTTCTGCCGGAGCCCACTGGGGAGTTCTTTTGGAAAAAGAACCAAAACCAAAACCTGAAACATCCAGCACGCCGTGCACCCCTGCAAGCAGGGGGCGGCGGATCGAAGACGCCTACGGCGAATCACCGCCGCCCCCTGCCTTTTTGGAAGCGCCTATGTGGCCGAACGTTGAGGCCAGACCTGCCAAGCTATCGGACCACGTGTTCCCCGAATCGGTTTGGAAAGCCTTCGGGGAACACGTGGGCATCTTGAAGGTCATCTTGGCCGTCTTGGAGGCCTCTTGGGCAAGCTTTGGGCGATCTTTGGGGCTTTTTGGGCCGTCTCGGGCCAGCTTCGAGCCAACTTCGGCCATCTTGGTGGGTTCCTGGCACGTCTGACGCCGTCGGGAGCCGTTTTGGGGGCCTTTCTGGGCCAACGGGGGACCCTCTTGGGGCGCTCCAATCTTGGAGGCCATCTTGGGCGTGGGAGGCCTCTTGGGCGTGTTGGAGGCCATCTCTTGGGCCACTTGGGCCATCTTGGGCCTCTTGGGAGCCGTCCTCTCCTTCAAAAACCAAGGGCCTCTTGGACTCTCCTGGGGAGGAGGCCTCTTGGGCCGTCTGGCCTCTTGGGCCGTCTTGGGCCGTCTTGGACTCTCTTGGGCCGTTTTGGAGGCCGTCTTGGACCATCTCGGGCGGACTTGGAGGCCATCTTGGGCCATCTTCGCGATTTTTTGAGGATGTCCCGAGCGAAACGGCCGTTTTTTGGAGGATTTTTTCCGGTCGTTGAGCACGTTTGGGGATTTTCCGGGTGGCCGGCGGGTTCTGCCGGAGCCCACTGGGGAGTTCTTTTGGAAAAAGAACCAAAACCAAAACCTAACAGCTCGTCCAGCACGCCGTGCACCCCTGCAAGCAGGGGGCGGCGGATCCAGTTGCCTTCGGCATATCCCGCCACCGTGCCTGGCCGGTGGGTCATATGCATCCTGGATGTTGGTTTGGAGCTCGTGGTTGGCATCTTTAGGGCCTCTGGGAGGCAGGTTCGAGGCCTCTGGAGGCCTCTTGGGGATAGTTCGGGGTGCCTCTTAGGGCCTCTTGGGGGCCTCTTTGGAGCCTCTTGGGGCTCATTGGCGGCGTCTTGGGGGCCCCTGGGGCCTCTTGGGGACCTCTTGGGGGATTCTTGGGGCGGGAGGGTGGGGTAGCCGATTGCGGCCGCCCCCTTCGGAGGCCACGATCCTCGTGAGGGGTGTCGAAAAATGGCCCTCCCCAAAGTCATGCGGGAAGTGGCGGGGAACGGCGGAGGCCGCGATCCTCGTGAGGGGTGTCGCAAAATGACCCTCCCCTACATTCGGGCACCCCCTCGGAGGCCACGATCCTTGTGAGGGGTTGCAAAAAAAAGACCCTCCCCAAAGTCAAGCGACACACCGCGACAAGGGCCGAGTAACCCCAAAGGTGGCTCCGGTCCATTAGTTACTCCTCGGGAGCGAGCCTCGGGGCCTAAGGACACGCCCACTCCATGCCGAAGGGCACGGTGGCGTACTTCCTGAAGTACTTGCTGTACTACAAGTGGGCCTGTGACGACCATCAACAGCGATCATGCTTGGCAAACCTTTCGTGGAAGTACGCGTTCAACCTTCTCTTCATGCGTGCAACCCCGCGTTTCGTGAAGCCGTCCATCCAGGACCATCTGTTGCCCTATCTGTCTGCATCGGGCAAGAAGGTTGGCGTCATGGGCTTCTGCTGGGGCGGCTGGATTACGATTCGCTCGTGCTCCTTACCAGGTGTTGCATGCGGCGTCGCCATGCATCCGACGATGAACATGGAGGGCTTCCACGGGGGGAGCGCGCACGAGGCTTACAGCGAAGTGCAGGCCCCGCTGATGTGTCTCGCCGCAGGTAGCGACCCCGATGAGGTGAAGCCCGGCGGCCCTTTGGACGCATCGATGCAGCGCGGACAGAAGTTGCTTGAGATTCACGAGTTCAAGGAGATGAAGCACGGCTGGTTTCCCAGGGGCGATGTCAGTGATGCTAAAGTGAAGCATGGCGTCGCGCTGGCCTACGACATGGCTTTGAAGTTTCTTAATGAGCACTTGAGATAGGCGATGCGAGGCTGGTGATGCCCACGATTGTTGGCAGCGTATGCAACGGGCACAGGTGTGTTCAGGCTATTTACCACATGATGTAGAGACGAAGGTATAGAGAGGTTAAGAGCATGAGGAGGGGAGGAAGAAGTCAACGGGGATGGTGAGCGCTGTCCAGATGTATGTGGTGGGAAGTGTTGCTCTCTTCATGATGTGGGCCGCGCGTTCCACGCCAGCTTCTCCAATGCTGCATCTTGTCTGCAGTGCGGCTTTGCGGTGCAGCACGATATTTGTTTGGAAAATCGCACGCCAAACATGTTACGAACCTTATCTTCTACCTCCACCCATCCATCGCGCGTAGACGAGCAGGTAGGCTGAGCTCCGGTCTGTCTCGTGAACCCATTATTTGGTCCAGGCCCGCAAGTGGCGAGTCGCAGGCCAAGTGCTTGTTTAGGCAGGCGTGCACCTTTCGAGTCCGATGTACAGAGTGGGCTCCCTCTCTTTCTCTCTCACGCTTTCTCCCTGCCCTGCGGGAGACAAAAATGCGTTCCGATTCGAGGGTTGCCAGCGCACTTGGCTCCCAGAGACTCCCTCCCTCCCCAAACAAACAAATAAGCGCGGTGCTGCTTTAGTATTGGTTATGTTCAGAGCGTGGGGCAGCGGGTCGCATATCAGATAGTTAAAGGAAGTGGTGGTGTGACAGCCGCGCTGGCATGCTCCCAGCTCGCGTCTCCAGTTCCCAGGGAAGGGTGAAGAGGAACAGGTGGAGAAGGAAGGGGAGTTCGAGAATGAGGGCGAAAACTAACAGGAGGAGGAGCATGAGGAGGAGGAGGAGGCTGCGGGAGGGGAAGGGGGAGGAGGAGGAGGAGGAGGAGGAGGAGGAGGAGGAGGAGGAGGAGGAGGAGGAGGAGGAGGAGGAGGATAGAGGAGGAGGAGGAGGAGGAGGAGGGGGAGGAGGAGGAGGAGGAGGGGAGGAGGAGGAGGAAGAGGAGGAAGGAGGAGGAGGAGGAGGCGTGGGAGGCGCGAGAGGGAGAAGGACGAGCAGCAGCAGCAGCAGCAGCAGCAGCAGCAGCAGCAGCAGCAACAGCATCTGGAAATGGTGCAGAAAGGGGGCACAGCTGGCCACGCAGCAGGGAACATGTGGCCACATGGGGCCGCACCGAATTCAAGAAATGTTTCAGGTGTCATTAGGGAGGTGGGAGTCGCCGAAGCTCATGCGTTGCACTGGGTCTCGGGTCGCACTTAGAATTGTTCACGATTCGCGAATCTCCACCAGCCCATCCTACAGCAGGCACTCGAACGAAGAGCGCCGACCATCGACAGCTGTACTCCTCCTCCTCCTCCTCCTCCTCCTCCTCCTCCTCCTTCTCTTCCTCCTCGTGGTGTCGTTTGCCACGTAGACTGTGGCGATCATGACACTCATGACACTCCTCCTCGTGGTGTCGTCTTGGAGGTCTCTTGGGGCGTCTTGGTGGAGTATTGGGCCCTGCCGCACTCCCCGTCTCTTAGGGGGGCTCTTGGGGCGTTTTGGAGGGTCCACGACGTCTCTTGAGGCAATTTTGGAGACAATCTAACAGAAGAAGGGGCGGCTCCAATTACGCCCCCCCCTTGGGGCCACGATCCCCGCAAAGGGTGCCAATTGTTAAGCCCTCCCAGGGCTCGCCTGAGGGCCCTCCAACTACCCGCGGAACCCTCCCTCCAGGCCCAGGGGGAGGGAGCAGGGGGAGGGGTCAAGACACCCTCTCCGCCCGCAAGCCGCCTAGCTCACTCCCACCCGCCCTCCCAAAACATAAGTGGCACCCGAGTTTCGGCATAGCCAGGGGTCGCCATGGGATGGGCAGCCACTGGGAACCCAAGCGGCAGCCAGAGTGATCGCGGGGGGCAGAACATTATCCACGATGTTGTCGCAAATTGCACTTTGTATCGTTGTTTGACACGGATGGTGGTCCTACACAAAGCGGGCACAATGAGGGTGTCCCGCCATCTTTGTAGGGAAAAACAATACAACATGCTAACATGGCGCCCGCGCGCTGTCCAGATTTTGCCGCAATGTGCACGTCGCATTTTTTTTTTGGTCAGGGATTGCAGGGGGGTTGGCAGGGGAGACGCGCAATGTGCACTTCGCGTTGTTTTTTGACAGGGGTGGCGGGGGTGGTCGGCAAGGGGTGCCCACGTGTACTGGATTTGTCGCCGGTCGGGTGGTGGAGGGGGTGGATATTGATAAAAAGCAATGGTAAACCTCTCCACGAAGTGAAAGGAGGGGGTTGAACAGAGCGGGCTCTCTAAACCATTCACGCCCTAAAGGGCTGGTGGGATTTGGAGTCACACTGCTTGGTCTACCGTTTGGTTCACCCATTCGCTGGAATGCATCAGTGCCAGAGTTCGGCTGCATCGTGCGGCCTTGCTCGGGAACCAGAGCCATTTTGGCCCGATCCTGCTTGCCCCAGCAAACGTCTTGAGGAATCTTCTTCCTGTGCAAAGTGCTGAGCCACTAGGTATTGACGATGCCTGCCAGCCCGTGCTGCCCTGACGGCCCGAAGCCAGTCGCTCCGCCAGAGGGGTACGTGGCTAGCGGTCGCGAGATTTCGGTCGGGGATTGTACGTGCTACGAGGTTGGTCAAGCCAGTGGCGGGCCAGCAGTTCTGTTGGTCTCCGATGTTTTCGGTTGGCACAGCGGGCGCACTCGTCAGATATGCGATAGGGTTGCAGACGCCGGCTTCCACGTCCTGCTGCCGAATTTCTTCGAGTGCGACGGGTGGGACCATTCCAAGCCGCTCATGGGTTACGCCACGCCATGGTATCCAGTTGCCTTCGGCATATCCCGCCACCGTGCCTGGCCGGTGGGTCATATGCGTCCTGGATGCTGGTTTGTAGCTCGTAGTTGGCATCTTTAGGGCCTCTGGGAGGCAGGTTCGAGGCCTCTGGAGGCCTCTTGGGGATAGTTCGGGGTGCCTCTTAGGGCCTCTTGGGGGCCTCTTTGGAGCCTCTTGGGGCTCATTGGCGGCGTCTTGGGGGCCCCTGGGGCCTCTTGGGGGCCTCTTGGGGGATTCTTGGGGCGGGAGGGTGGGGTAGCCGATTGCGGCCGCCCCCTTCAGAGGCCACGATCCTCGTGAGGGGTGTCGAAAAATGGTCCTCCCCAAAGTCATGCGGGAAGTGGCGGGGAACGGCGGAGGCCGCGATCCTCGTGAGGGGTGTCGCAAAATGACCCTCCCCTACATTCGGGCACCCCCTCGGAGGCCACGATCCTTGTGAGGGGTGCAAAACAAGACCCTCCCCAAAGTCAAGCGACACACCGCGACAAGGGCCGAGTAACCCCAAAGGTGGCTCCGGTCTCTTAGTTACTCCTCGGGAGCGAGCCTCGGGGCCTGAGGACACGCCCACTCCATGCCGAAGGGCACGGTGGCGTACTTCCTGAAGCACTTGCTGTACTACAAGTGGGCCTGTGACGACCATCAACAGCGGTCATGCTTGGCAAACCTTTCGTGGAAGTGCGCGTTCAACCTTTGTGCAACCCCGCGTTTCGTGAAGCCGTCCATCCAGGACCATCTGTTGCCCTATCTGTCTGCATCGGGCAAGAAGGTTGGCGTCATGGGCTTCTGCTGGGGCGGCTGGATTACGATTCGCTCGTGCTCCTTACCAGGTGTTGCATGCGGCGTCGCCATGCATCCGACGATGAACATGGAGGGCTTCCACGGGGGGAGCGCGCACGAGGCTTACAGCGAAGTGCAGGCCCCGCTGATGTGTCTCGCCGCAGGTAGCGACCCCGATGAGGTGAAGCCCGGCGGCCCTTTGGACGCATCGATGCAGCGCGGACAGAAGTTGCTTGAGATTCACGAGTTCAAGGAGATGAAGCACGGCTGGTTTCCCAGGGGCGATGTCAGTGATGCTCAAGTGAAGCAGGGCGTCGCGCTAGCCTACGACATGGCTTTGAAGTTTCTTAATGAGCACTTGAGATAGGCGATGCGAGGCTGGTGATGCCCACGATTGTTGGCAGCGTATGCAACGGGCACAGGTGTGTTCAGGCTAGTTACCACATGGTGTAGAGACGAAGGTGTAGAGAGGTGAAGAGTCTGAGGAAGGGGAGGAAGAAGTCAACGGGGATGGTGAGCGCTGTCCAGATGTATGTGGGGGGAAGTGTTGCTCTCTTCATGATGCGGGCCGCGCGTTTCACGCCAGCTTCTCCAATGCTGCATCTTGTCTGCAGTGCGGCTTTGCGGTGCAGCACGGTATTTGTTTGGAAAATCGCACGCCAGACATGTTACGAACCTTATCCTCTACCTCCACCCATCCATCGCGCGTAGACGAGCAGGTAGGCTGAGCTCCGGCCTATCTGGTGAACCCATTATTTGGTCCAGGCCCGCAAGTGGCGAGTCGCAGACCAAGTGCTTGTTTAGGCAGGCGTGCGCCTTTCGAGTCCGATGTACAGAGTGGGCTCCCTGTCTTTTTTTTTCCTCTCTCTCTCTCTCTCCCTCCCTCTCCCACGCTCTCTCCCTGCCCTGCGGAGTACAGCAATGCGTCCCGATTCGAGAGTTGCTAGCGCACTTGGCTCCCAGAGACTTCCTCCCTCCCTCCCAACAAAAACAAGTAAACACGGTGTTGCTTCAGTATTGACCATGCTCAGAGCAATGGGGCAACGGGTCGCATATCATATAAAGAAAGTGGTGGTCCAACAGCTGCGTTGGCAAGTCAGGGGGCTGCATGCTCCAAGTTGGCGTCTCCAGTGAAGAAGACCAGGTGGAAGAGGAGGAGGAGGACGACGACGAAGAGGGAGAGGGGGAACGGGAGGGGGAGAAGGAGCAGCAGCAGCAGGCGGTGGAGGAGGGGGAGGAGGAGGAGGAGGACGAGGAGGAGGACGAGGAGGAGGAGGAGAAGGAGGAGGAGGAGGAGGAGGAGGCTGAGCAAGGGGAAGGAGGAGGAGGAAGACGAGGAGTAGGAGGAGGAGGAGGAGGAGGAAGAGGAGGAGGAGGAGGAGGAGGAAGAGGAGGAAGAGGAGGAGGAGGAGGAGGAAAAGGAGGAAAAGGAGGAAGAGGAGAAGGAGGAGAAGGAGGAGAAGGAGGAGTTGAAAGGAGAAGGGTGAGAGGAAAGGGAGGAGGGTGAGAGGAAAAGGAGGAGGAGGAGGAGCGGCAGCAGCAGGAAAAGACAGAAACAGAGCACAGCTCGCCACGCGGGAGAGGACACGTGCCATCAGTGGCACGCAAGATCAACGACGGTATCGCCTCGCGGGAGGGAACACGTACCATGAGTGGCACGATAAACCATTGTCGGAGCGAGGGGCTTCCGCTCATGCGAATCCATTTGAAGTCGTGCGCGTGTTGGTTGCTTCCAGGTAGGCAAACGTCGTCGCGTTTATCTTCTTCTTTTTTTTCTTCTTCTTCTTCTTCTTCTTTTTCTTCTTCTCCCAGCCGGGGGGGTGCCCGGCGGGGCCCAAATGAGGCGGGGGCCCGCGGTCTCGTGGGGGGGGGAGGGGCCCTTGTGGCAGGGGGGGAGGGGGCGTATGTTTGGGGCCCGTTGGGGATCCACGGAGGGCCCTAGGCCCCAACGTGTATGTAATGCATTGTACATGCTTCTCAGGTGTCCCAGAGGTGTGCCCAAGTGCATGCATGTCAGGGCGTTGTTCGGCCCTCTTAGGGTCTTTGAGGGGTCCCAAGACAGCTCCGCTAGGATCACGAAAATGCAGCAGGACTTCAAACGTTTTCAGCCTTTTGGAAGCACGCAGAATCCGCAAAGTTACGCGAGGCTTCGGGAAACATATACAAACATCCAAGTATCCACAGCGCCGTCTGTTCACGCAGTACGCGTGATCACAAGCTGGGCCGTCGCAACGACTGCTACGGAGAGCCGCGCTGGGGATATTTGAATCATCATGATCCACGGAGGTCCTGCAAACCTGTGTGGCCCCTGTGGGTCTCACACAGGCTCAGAGATCTCCAGCGCAGTCGGCTCGGGACATCAATGTCCTGTGTTATCACAAATCCGCCCGTCGCAAGGAGGTTTTTCAGGGATAGCGATGTTGGTAATGTTGGCCATGTGTACTTCGCAAGAAATCGCACATATCCAGAAATCGCGAAGAGCCACGCTGGTCATTTCCGAACATGTGTACGACCTGATACTTCACGGTCGGAACTGTCAGGCCGATCGTTTTCAAGACATTATTGGGAAATTCCTCGATACCCAGCGCCTTTGTCGCCAACAACAAAAACAACAATCATCAGATAGGGGGGGGGGCGAACAAGCCATACATCGAGCAACTTTGGCTTCAGAGAATCGTCCTGGGGAGTTATTCATGTCGTGCTCCCCAACGTGCTTGGTTAACCCACGTAGACAGGGAGCTTCTCATGGGCTCGGAACTCGCCAGAATTTCTATTCACCGAAATTCGCTCTCCTGAACCAGTCCGAAATTGATATTCATGTTTCGCGTGCAGTTCCACACGTGCACCCCAGACCATCGAGTCTCCCCACGCTCGATTTCAAATGCACCCCTTTGGGCGAGTATTCTTTCCTTGCCCGCCACGGTTGTTGGCGAAGGCGCTGAGTTGTGAAAAGGTGCGGTGTCGGGAAAGGGGTTAAAGGTAGAGGAGTAACGGAAGAGGGATGAGGAAGGAAGGACGGGGGGCAGCAGGCAGCGAGGAAGGAGGAGGAAGGACGGAGCACGAGCGGGATCAGCAGGAGTACAAGTAGAGAGAGGAAAGAAAAGGACGAGGAGGAGGAGGAGAAGGAGGGAGCCGGAGAGAGGTGCGAGGAGGTATGATAAAGTACGGAAGAAAAGAGGATAGACGAAGAGGAGGAAAGGGAGGAGAGGGGATAATGTAGGGAGAAGGATGGAAGCGGATGGAAATGGGAAGAGGGAAGGAATACGGACTAGGGAAAAGAGCAGGGCTGGGTGAGAGAGGGGAGAGGAGTGCGAGAAAGGAAGCGCAGGGAAGGAATACTGTTGATGCTCGAAGGAGGGCTCCTCAAGGTAGCCTGCACGGAGCGAGAGGACAGCGTTTCAATAATATGTTCGACACCTCCAATGGTGGCACCGTTTCAGAGTAAACGGGGGTGGGGTCTCAAGCACGATCTCGATACCAGGGTGGCGAGAGACTAACTAACATAACGAGGAAGCACGCAACGAAGTACGAGGCGAGAGCGCGATTGCGGAATGAATATCTGGCTGCCACAGGCAAGAGCGCGAATCTTGAATCAGAAGTCTTAAACAAGCTTGAAGCGAGAGTGCGGCCGTTGAATGACTTGTAAGGAGATCTCAGGTGGTAGCGCGATTCTTGAGTAAATCGTGAAAGCGTAAGCGCGGTTGCAAGATGAGGGCAATTGATGGGGGGAGGAGGAGGAGGAGGAGGCGGAGGAGGAGGAGGAGGAGGAGGAGGAGGAGGAGGGGGAGGGAGGAGGAGAAGGAAGGAGGAGGAGGAGGAAAAGTAGGAAGAGGATGAGAGGGGGAGGGGGAGCAGGAGGAGGAGGAGGAGAAGGAGGAGGAAGAGGGAGGAGGAGGAGGAGGAGGAGGAGGAGGAGGAGGAGGAGAATGAGGAGGAGGAGGAGGAGGAGAAGGAGGATGAGGAGGAGGAGGGGGGGAGGAGGAGGAGGAGGAGAAGGAGGGAGGAGGGAGGAGGAAGTGCTAGGGGAGGGCAACCGATGGGGCAGCCAGGCGGGCTGGGGCCAGATCTTGTCTGCAAGGTCTCCCACGACGACAAGTCAGAGCGCGAACCCCTGAGACCAAGGGCTCCCACGAGGGCGCGAAGTTATTAGCGCTTCTCGCTTCGCGGTCCTCGTTCCTTCTCCCCCTCCTCCTCGTCCTCCTTTTTCCCGTTTGGGGGGGTGGCGCGAGAGCGCGAAGGTATTCGCGTTTCGCGGAGCGCGAAGCGCGAAGTTGGGAGCCGTAGGAGACGACTTTAAATTTCAAAATGGTCAATACGTTCGGTGGGGGAGGAGGGATTTTCGGGATCAGCGTTGCTTTTTTCATGTTTGGGCCACCAGGTGCGCACATCGCTGACATGGTTGAACGCAGCTTGCACACCTGGCCAATTGGACCTCACCAGGGGTCCGGGAGCAGAGTTTGAGCGGATTGGGGCCAGGTGAGGGTGTTCTTGTTTTGTATGCATAGGTTCCGATGTACCTCTATTGGTTCTGGGAGTTTCCCGCTTGTTCAGTGTGAGCGCGGAGAAACTTGGCCAGAGGGCATGTTCGATATTCTTCTGACGGTGCTTCTGTAGAGCGGTGAGAAATGTGGCTTGAAAGAGCGCATGTGCGCAAAACCATGTAGATGTAAGACGTGTCGAAAAACAGGTACTTCGACAGAATGGCAAGCAGTGCTCTTTGTACTTTGAAGTTGTCGTCGTCGCATGCAGGCTTGTAGTATATTTTAGCAGGCCGTCCGTGCTTCATTTGCTTCCCTTTCAGTGTTTGCCAATGCTCACCTGGTGTACAGACATGCCGACGTCGTTGCGCTGTTCATAGTTGGTTTCGTCCTCTTCGGCCACAGTTGCATTATGCTCCATCTGCTGGTGTAAGTTGTTTGGTAAGCGCGGGCGCATGAATTGCATATTGAGCTTGCGTCCACCGTGATTGGCCATGCCCAGGCGCAGGCAAGTGGAAGAACACGAACACACCCTGTTTACCTGGAAAGCCCCCGACCATCTTGTACGCGAAAGCGCTGCTGAAAGGGTTGGAGCGTGGGTTCGAATTGGAAAATGCTAACCATGGTGTTCCTATCACCCGGTACGCCCAAGTGAATTTTGCTGTGTTCAAAAAAATAGAGTTGGGTTCCCTCTCAATCAGGACATTGTTATCGTTCTATTCCAACAAGGCATGGGTGCCCTTATCAAAAGAGTGGCATGATAAAGTTCCGTATCTGGATCAGACGTCCCAAGATCTCGACACACGGGTTAACTGTGGCATGGAAAGAAGCGACGATGAACTTCTGAAAGACGTGAAAGATTGTATTGCGTTTCTCGAAGAAGGGTCGGCTTGCACCCGCCAGTTCTCCTGGGCAGCTTTGATGCCGCTCTTGCATGTTGTTGGATTGTGTTCCCGCAACATCTGGAGCTTTGGGCCAGATGATGTGCAGCAACTCCTCGCCTACATTGAGCGATATGGTGACAAGCCCATCAACATCCAGATGCTGAGCCCGTCAGGAGCGCCCTTACAGCATCTTGCACAGGGTATCAGGAGCAACGACGAGTTCTGCAGCATGGTATTGACTTGGCCAGGAGGCGGCAGAGCTGCTGACGAAGCTGCCAGAGCCATCGTGGACAAGCTGAAGGCCCGATGGGCTCCAATGCAAGCCCTTCCTGACTTTGATTTTTGGCCCCTGTGATCGCAAGTCAAACCTTGGATTGGAACGTCTTCTAAGGCGGGCCACACACCCACCGCGAAGATGACCCGAAGACAGCTCCCCATGACCGCCCTGAGGCAGCTCCAGGAGGCCTCCAAGAAATCCACGAGCTCCGAAGACAGGCCCAAGATCGATCATACGGCCCGGAAGACATAGGCATCAGCCAATGGATAGCGTGAGCTTCTTACCGGGACATCCAATCCACATTTGGCAGCACCTATAGATGCGAGGTCTCAGGTGGATGCGCGTGAGTTGGCAGTCCGTTGGACCCCCTCCACCCCAGGAGCTCCTCCTCCTCCTCCTCCTCCTCCTCCTCTGCCTCCTCCTCTGCCTCCTCTTCATCCTTCTCCTCCTCCTCCTCATCCTCTTCCTCTTCCTCTTCCCCCTCCTCCTCCTCCTCCTCCTTCTCCTCCTACCCCCTCCTTCTCCGCTCCCCCCCTGTCCTCCTCCTCCTCCTCCTCCTCCTCCTCCTCCTCCTCCTCCTCCTCCGCTAGCACTCCGCTGGAAACGAGCGGCAGTTTCATGTGAGGCACCTCGCATCGACACACCAGTGGACATCCCAGGAGCCCAGGAGCATGACAACAGGGGCGCAGGATTGGCAATAGCAGGGACGTTATGTCTCAAGTGAACTTATTTTGGTTGGCACTCCGCCGTATTCCCCTGGAGCTCTGGGAAGTGGCGACGTTTGGAAATATGGCAGCGTCCGTGGGGAAAAGGTTTCAAGTAGGTCCATCTGGACCGGCACTCCAATGGACCTCGCAGGGGCACACGAAAGTGGTGATTGTTTCAAGCTTTGACGTCGCCCACCGAGGTGGGGTCTCGATTGAGCTTGATGGGGCAACTATCCGAATCTACCTTTCAGGAGCTCGGAAAGACGGCGTCCGCTGCACGTTTGCAGCAGTGAGAGCGGCAAGGTTTTAAGCGCGTTCCGCGGGTCCGTTTTCGGCTGGCCTCCCCAGGAGCTCAGGAGCGTTGCGAACATGTGTGAAGAGGTCGTAGCGGCAGCTGGGGTGCGGATACATAGTGTTCTGTCGGGTGATCTATTCGGTTGAATTGTATGTTTGCCGTTGTTGTGTTGTGATGGATGTTGCATTGGCCCGATATGCAGCTCATCTTGTTTCATCCGCGTCAGAACCCACAGCTAGATACCGTAGCAAACTGGATGCAAGATCCTAGATATTGTGGCGCAGCGAGTCCTCAGAGGCAAATATTGGGCAGCTAGCAGTTGTTTGGATATCGTTGCTTGCAAGTGTTGCGACTGAATCGTGGAGTGGGTGCGTTTGGGATTGAGTGCTGCTAGGATTCCAGGGGTCCGAGAGATGGTTCCCCGAGGCAGTAAAACCCCGCTCTGCTTGCTCAAGCTGGTCGTTCAGCAGTATGTCTGCGAATCCCGTCACATAGACTTCCAAGCCAGGAGGACCGCGGCGAGGTTGGCGACAAAACCAGGGACCTCCTGAACGCAGTAGGACCCAGCCTCTTCTTTGCACGTGGCAAAGTAGCACGACGAGTATAACCCCCACCTCTCATGTGCTGTTATGATTCATCCTTCATCTCTGATCCTGATCCTGATCCTGCTTGTGCGCTTCCCTTCTCCTGTTCTTCCTCGTCGTCTTCGCCCCCTGGGCACAAGGGAACCACTGAAGAGGAGGGCGTGAGCAGGAGGAGAAGGAGCACGTGGGGGGGGAGAAGGAGGAGGAGGAGGAGGAGGAGGAGGAGGTGGAGGACGGGAGGAGTTGGCCCAGGCACCGTGGGGTCTGGAGGACGGGGGGTACAGGGGCTTGCTTCTCGTCGCCTTCTGGCGTCCCCCAGGGACCTCCTCCTCCTCCTCGTCCTCCCTCCTTTCCCGTCCTCCTCTCCTCCTCCCCCTCGTCTGGAAAGCAAGCTGTCTGCCTTGGCAGGTGTATTTTGCCGGGTTTATCCATTGTGCGCTTTGTCGGTTCAGCATGCTACTTTCATTCGTGTCCAGCCTCCTTGTCGTCCAATGGCCAGGCTGCACATCCGACACGCGGATTTCTGTTTACGGTCAGTGGCATTGGCGTTTCGTCGCCGCGCGCTCCTGATTGATACTTTCTCGTGCCTTGTGTGATCCTCGGCAGCGCAGCGTTTGTTCCGTCATCCCACGCGGGCTTACGCAATCGTCTAATGTGTCTTGGGTTGTGGGGGCGCGTGATGTTCCTCTTTGAACATGGAGGCGCGTGTTGTTCCTCGCTTGCGCTTCTAGGAAATTGGTCAACTGGCTACGACATCACCTTCCAAACACTACGAGAAGACCCATCAACAATAGTGCAGACGCTGCAAGGTCTCCTCCAAGCAGAAGGAAAGAAGGCCGCTGATACGAGGCCTACAGAGCCCAAGGTGCGCACAGCATAGCACACGTTGCCAGATGAGTCTCGATTGAGTTAAGTCGAGGCCAATCGTTTACCTTCCTTGCTCCCATCGTGACCGAAAGAGCCTCAATTGCCCCGGTCGAATCCGGATTGCACATTTTGTTGCTATCGTTCTGCCGCGCGGCCGCCATTTGGTTGCCACTCGCCTGCCGCTCGGCGGTGGATACCTTGCTCTCACCCTGGTCCTGGCCACACGCATCTGGTTCCAGAGTGATACGTTCACTTGAGCGCCCCAGCCGCAGATGTACAACTCGTCGAAATGCCGCGCTCGCCTTGGCACAGGCCACGCTCCCGACGACGATACAGAGGCGGCATTGGATCAGCAACGCCCTCCCCAAGGACCAGGCCCTGGCGCGCCCCTTCCTCTTTCGAGGCGAGGTGGATGACCACGACAAGCCGCCCACTGCTGGCGAGACCCTGAGTTCCTTATCCTAGGCTCCCTTCTCCAGTGCCACCACCCACTGGAGCCCTCGATTAAGCGCCAGCCACACTGTAGCATGGAGAAGAAGAAGGAGAAGGTCGAGGCAGGAGGAGGAGGAGGAGGACGACGACGAGGAGGAGGAGAAGAAGCGGATAATGGAGAAGAGGAGGAGGAGCAGCAGCAACAGCAGCGGACTGGGCTCTCGCCTGCAGCGGCTGCCACGTGCTCGAGTCCGAGTGGCCCCATCACCTCCGCACAACCACATTCCCAGCCAGGGATGGGACTCTCGTTTCAGCGCGGCTCGGCATGGCGCTATCCTTCAAGAGTTGCATACGTTTCCCCTCATGGCCTCGCCTCCCGCCCCTCCACACCCTCCTTGCCCCTTCTCCTCAGCCTCCTCCTCCTCCTCGTCCACCTCCTCACCTCCTCCTCTCTACAATTACACCATCTGAATACTACTCCCCTCTCTCCCCTGGTGTTGTCCAGGAGTTGCATTTTGCCTATCCGGCCCACCCCCTTGCGTATTGTGTTTTACACACGGGCTGCTGGCGAGTTGGGTTTTCACATGGTTTTTTGCGCTCCGAGTTCTTTTGCGCATTTACCTAACAGCGAAGACCGATAGGTTTCTAGTAGGGTCAAAGAGCATCTTGACGCCCCAGGGGGGTCTGGGCGGGATCCGGACGGGATCCGGGGACTTTTTTTTTTAGCCAGCAGTAACGCACTTCGTGGTCTTCGAGTTCCCAGAACTCCATTCCTGGGCATGATTTTGAATGCCCAGAGCCAACTGTAGGCCATTTCGTGGTCTTCGGGTTCCCAGAATTCCATTCTTGGGCATGATTTTGAATGCCCCGAGCCAACTGTAGGCCACCTCGTGCTCTTCGAGTTCCCAGAACTCCATTCCCGGGCCACATTTTGAATGCTGAGGCAGGCTGATGCTGAGGCTGAGGCAGGCTGAGGCTGAGGCAGGCTGAGGCTGAGGCCGAGGCTGAAGGCATACTGAGGCTGAGGCTGAAGCAGGCTGAGGCTGAGGCTGAGGCAGGCTGAGGCTGAGGCTGAGGCTGAGGCTGAGGCTGAGGCTGAGCTGAGGCAGGCTGAGGCTGAGGCTGAGGCTGAGGCTGAGGCTGAGGCTGAGGCCGAGGCTGAAGGCAGACTGAGGCTGAGGCTGAAGCAGGCTGAGGCCGAGGCTGAGGCTGAGGCTGAGGCTGAGGCTGAGGCTGAGGCAGGCTGATGCTGAGGCAGGCTCAGGCTGAGGCTGAGGCTGATGCAGGCTGAGGCTGAGGCAGCCTGAGGCTGAGGCCGAGGCCGACGGCAGACTGAGGCTGAGGCTGAGGCAGGCTGATGCTGAGGCAGGCTGAGACCTTGGCTGAGGCTGATACAGGCTGAGGCTGAGGCAGCCTGAGGCTGAGGCCGAGGCTGAAGGCAGACTGAAGCTGAGGCTGAAGCAGGCTGAGGCTAAGGCTGAGGCAGGCTGAGGCTGAGGCTGAGGCAGGCTGAGGCTGAGGCAGACTGAGGCTGAGGCTGAGGCTGATGCAGGCTCAGGCTGAGGCAGCCTGAGGCTGAGGCTGAGGCTGAAGAAGGCAGACTGAGGCTGAGGCTGAAGCAGGCTGAGGCTGAGGAAGAGGCAGGCTGAGGCTGAGGCTGAGGCAGGCTGATGCTGAGGCAGGCTCAGGCTGAGGCTGAGGCTGATGCAGGCTGAGGCTGAGGCAGGCTGAGGCTGAGGCCGAGGCTGAAGGGCAGACTGAGGCTGAGGCTGAGGCAGGCTGAGGCTGAGGCTGAGGCAGGCTGAGGCTGAGGCTGATGCAGGCTGAGGCTGAGGCAGGCTGAGGCTGAGGCCGAGGCCGAAGGCAGACTGAGGCTGAGGCTGAAGCAGGCTGAGGCTGAGGCAGAGGCAGGCTGAGGCTGAGGCTGAGGCAGGCTGATGCTGAGGCAGGCTGAGGCTGAGGCTGAGGCTGAGGCTGAGGCTGAGGCTGAGGCTGAGGCTGAGGCTGAGGCAGCTGATGCTGAGGCAGGCTGAGGCTGAGGCTGAGGCTGATGCAGGCTGAGGCTGAGGCAGGCTGAGGCTGAGGCCGAGGCTGAAGGCAGACTGAGGCTGAGGCTGAAGCAGGCTGAGGCTGAGGCTGAGGCAGGCTGAGGCTGAGGCTGAGGCAGGCTGATGCTGAGGCAGGCTGAGGCTGAGGCTGAGGCTGATGGCTGAGGCTGAGGCTGAGGCAGGCTGAGGCTGAGGCCGAGGCTGAAGGCAGACTGAGGCTGAGGCTGAAGCAGGCTGAGGCTGAGGCTGAGGCAGGCTGAGGCTGAGGCTGAGGCAGGCTGATGCTGAGGCAGGCTGAGGCTGAGGCTGAGGCTGATGCAGGCTGAGGCTGAGGCAGGCTGAGGCTGAGGCGAGGCAGGGCAGACTGAGGCTGAGGAAGCTGAGGCTGAGGCAGAGCTGAGGCTGAGGCTGAGGCAGGCTGATGCTGAGGCAGGCTGAGGCTGATGCTGAGGCTGATGCAGGGTGAGGCTGAGGCAGGCTGAGGCCGAGGCCGAGGCTAAAGGCAGACTGAGGCTGAGGCTGAAGAAGCTGAGGCTGAGGCTGATGCAGGCTGAGGCTGAGGCAGGCTGAGGCTGAAGCAGGCTGAGGCTGAGGCTGAGGCAGGCTGAGGCTGAGGCTGAGGCAGGCTGATGCTGAGGCAGGCTGAGGCTGAGGCTGAGGCTGATGCAGGGTGAGGCTGAGGCTGAGGCAGGCTGAGGCCGAGGCTGAAGGCAGACTGATGCTGAGGCTGATGCAGGCTGAGGCTGAGGCTGAGGCAGGCTGAGGCTGAGGCAGGCTCAGGCTGAGGCTGAGGCTGAGGCTGTGACTGCGACTGCCGTTGCCACTGCGACTGTCATCGCGAATGCGACTACGACTGCGAGAACAGCAGAATTCTACAACTGGATTATCATCTGAGTCGTAAGGGGAATGCTTCCAGATATGCTCCTACACATCGCTGTTAGGTTGCTTTGCCGGGATAATAATTAGTAAGTAGCGCACGGGTTGCTTGCGAGTTGGGCATTCGTTTGGGTGCTGCGTTCCGGCTATTGTTTGGTCCTTCAAACGGTGCTCCCGCCGTCGCGTTGGCATCATCTCCGCACCTCCAGCTTTCCCAAATCGTGCTCCTGCTGCAGCACAGGCGCTTTCGGCCCTTCCTCATTACCCCAACATTCAGTTAAGCAAACCATGGCAACCAGAACAAAAAAACAATTGAAGTGATAATACATTCGGTGTCGATTCGCTGACTTCTTGGGCCGCGGAAGCCCTCCCCACTTTGGGGCGTCGTCGCTTCGAGGACGTATCAAAAGAAACGCGGCTTCGACCCCTCCAAGCAGCGGTCCCGTTGTGGCGGTCTTGTCATCCCCGTCATTGGTGATACTTCTCACTCACGCCTCTATGCCACGCTTTGCCGTGTTGGTTTTTGAAAAGAATGTTCCGCTGACGCGTTGGCCCCATTTCCGTGCCTGTAGCTGTCCAAATCGCGCTCCCGCTGCAGCACAAACGTCTTCGGCCCTTCCAAATAGGCCACGCTTTAATACACACGCATCTATATATATGTATACATATATATATATATATATACACATATGTGTATATATATATATATTACGAACAAAACACACAGGAAACGATTACACATCCGGTGTCGATTCGTTGACTTTTGGGGCCGCTGAAGCCTCCCACCCGCACACACCACACACACTTGTGGGCGTCATCGCTATGAGGAAACATCTGGCGGGAGCGCGGCTTCGCCCCCTCAATGCAGTGTATCCGCTGTGGCGTTGCTGTCATTTCCGTCATTCGGGGTCCTTCTCAATGACGCTCTTTCCTCTGTGCGACGCCATGCCGTGCTCTACCATGCATCGAGTGCCCTCTCGGGATCCTTGCCTTGCCTTTCTCTACATTCCATTGCGCGAACTGAAGAGAGATCTACGCCATGGTAAGGGATGGGGAGGGGTAGGACGTCAGATATGGCGCGCCCACCTAGCTTGCTTCTCTCCTCTCTCCTCTCGCCACTCCCCACTCTCTTCTCTCCTCCTCCTCCTCCTCCTCCTCCTCCTTTTCCTTCTCCTCGCTCCTCCCCACCCCTCTCTCCCCCTCCCCCGCCTCCTTCAAGAAGGCGTGCTCGGGGGTGCGTTCAAAGTATCAGGAGTTTGGGGGGGCCCAGGGCACCAGTCTCAGGCCGTCTTGGAGTTGTTCGTGGAAGGTTTGGAGATCCTCGGAGGCCTTGACGAGTGCCAGTAAGCCATTTAGGCTGGCCTGGGGGCCGTCGAAATTCTTTTGGACGTCGTGGGCCCCCAATGGTTGCAGGGCAAAATCATCTCCACCAGGATTTTATTGGTTCTCGATGTGGGCGTGATAGAGGCTTGCTGGGAAGATTTCTTGGGGACACGTTGGCGACTGATTCCAGGCCGGCCAAGAGTCATTCATCTAGTCGCTCGGAGAGCCGGTTGGGGGCAGTTCAGTTCATGGAGGGCGTCAGGGTCGTCTTGGAGACCCTTGCCACCGTTGGGAGAATTTTGAGACTTATTGGGGCAGTCCTCCGCTGCCCAGGAACTGTCTTGGACCCGTGTTAGGTTGTCTAAGGGTTGCTTGGTGGATTCCCGAGCCATCAGGGAACACTCCGTGAGATCTCTCAGACCGACGATAAGCCGTCTGAGGCGACCGAAAAGTCGCTCGAAGGTCTCAAGGAGGCCATTTCGGGGCCTACAAGGCGGCACAGCAACATTTTTTGATACAAAAAACATTAAGGTGGTTCGAAATTCCGGATGGTGCTGTCGTTTTCGCGCCAACAACGTTGCTTGCGGTCCAGCGTTCGAAAGGGGAGCTGTTTGGATGCTTTGTTGATTTGGAGCGAAAGTTCTCTCGTATAGTTGCATGTATATGTGTGTGAATATGTGTGTGATCGTGTTTGCGTGCATGCGCATGGCGCCTTCGTGCGCGCGCAGGTGCTGAAGGCGCTGCCGGCTTCCAAGCGCAGCCTCGTCGACCCGTGGATCTCCCGGGCGAAGGAGGCGCAATCGATCCGCGAGGACTGCCAGCGCGCAAGCGGAGGACGGCAGGAGGTGGAAGCAAAAACTAGGCGCCATCGTTTTCTCCGAGGCTGTAGGTGGGCGGCGTGACCAGAACGTTTAGATGCGGTCGCCGCATCGCGAGGGCAAGGAAGGTCTGACTGATAGGTGTGCGCGGCGTCTCGCCATTCGCTTACACCCAGTGGTATGGGCACGGCCACCCCAGAGAGTCCCAATCATTAAGGTTCAGATGATTTCGTGTTCCTAGTCTCCTAGCTCCGCGTTGCGCCCATCAAGAATGCTAAACAACCTGCGCTAGTGACCCTAGGTCCCTCAAAGCTTGGAGTGCCAATGCGGCCTCATCGTTCCGAGTGGGTGTGCCGATGGCTTCGTTAATCATCAGAGTATGTAGTGCTCTACATGGGGCAGAAGCTTCTGCTAAGCTTCTTGAGCTCCGCATTGCGTCTGATCCGTACGATGCAGAATGTGCATCGTCTGTGCTATTTGCGCAGGTGATGGCCCCAACCGTCGTTCTCCCTTCCCTCCCTCTCTCCCTCAGTCGTTGTGTGTGAAGTCCGCTCATATCACCTTTCTATCCATCATCCCTGCTACCGTCTCGGCTCAAGGTACTGGAACAGCGCCGCTTGCCCGCGGCGCATGGGAAGAAAAGGACCGCTACCCTCTCCCTAACCGTCCTCTGCCTACGGACAACACTGTAGGTTCGACTCTTCGGTCGTGAACCTACACTCACAGGTTATCAGCCTATTCTGTTTCGGTTTCCGTTGTGACACCCCGCACAATCTTTGACTCAGTCGCATGGCGCTGGACCCCACGGGGCCCAGTGCCTCTATGCGCGCTTGGCCGTCGACGGAGCGCGGGCGTTACGACACTTCGGAGAGGGCAATGGGGCACGGCATGATACCGCAATCCCCCCTACCAGAAAAAAGGCACCGCCAATGCTCGACTTGAGGCCCAAGTCGAATCAGTCATGGATTCCTTCTCGCCTCCCGCGCCAGCGCCATCTCACACGCCACGGTTTGGACACGGCGCCCAGTCGACCATAACGTCCCCTGGCGCCACCTTTAGTTCGGAACCCTCGCCGGTGGAAACACCCGCGGGTGCCCTCGAAGCCACCGCTGGCTTCGCCTCGCCTCCTCCTCCAACGTTCTCCTGTGGACACGCCCGCGGTGGTGGCGCCAGCGACGCGTCTTTTCAGAACGCTTCTGCACGACGCCGCCGCTGGGACGCACGCCGTCTCATGAGCCCCACCATGGTCCTGGTGCCAGAACACGTGCGAGTTATAGAAGATCGCACTGGACGGACCTCACAGCGAAGAGCCCCCGAGCGGCATCGTCTCATGGTCTCCAGTCTCAAAATAGGGACGACAGCCGCAGCCCCTCCCAGAGGCGCTCACGGTGAAGTTCCCTACGGCGCGACATCGCACCACAAGAATCCCCTCAGCCAGTAATCTGGCAGAGCTCAGAGACCAGGTTGGGACTTACACGACCCAGCAGTTGTCGGGTCTTGGTGCGCAGACAGTATATAACACTGAGGCAAGAGCTCCACAACGCCCTTGCCCTCGTCGGCGCTCGGATCGCCGAGGATCGATCGATCGTCACTCAGGTCCAGTGTCAAGTCGACCGTGTGGAGTCACGCCGGGGTTCCGACTCTACAGCAATTCAGACGCTCCACGACTACCTCCTCGCAGCGGAGGCCCAACTCGCGAGCGTTAGGGGCGCGGGCACTGCCGCTGTCAGGACACTGCGCGATGAGCTCTGGGCAGCACGGCTGGTTCAGCTACGGAGGTGCATGGGCTTACGGATCAACAGCTCCGCGACGATTCAATTGCGCTTCGTACTCTTGTTGAAGTGACCACTGCCAGCCTACACTTAGAAATGCCGCAGTCGCGTCCGAGCTGCGCGGCAAGCTGCGCGGCGTTGAGATGGCTATCGCCCAACGTCTCGATGCTTCGGAGGGACGCGTGTCAACGCCAGAGAACCGAGTCTCTATGGTCGAGCAGCATTTACCTGATGTGCGGACTGCGCTGGCTGAGTTGCGTGTTGTACTTGCCCGGACTGGTCAGCTGGGCGCCCCGACTTCGGTCTGCGATTTTGCCACCCTCGAGGCCCGAATGGCCGAGGCATGGAAGGCGGCGGGCCGCGCGCAGTTACGACCCGCCCAGATCTCCCACGAAAGAGACGCTGAAAAGGCACGGGTTGAGGATGTATTCGCCCATGTGGATCAAGAGCGCGAAGCACGCAACCGACGAATCCAGGACTTAGAGCATCGGCTGGACCGGCGCCCCCAGCGAACTTATGACGCCAACGACGAGATACGTCGCTTACGACAGAGTGTTGAGAAGATGCAGACAGATATCACCGCAACTGAAACCACCGTAAAGGCCCGCTCGAGCGACACTCAGTTCCACATCCCGACCCTGGCTCCACAACCTGCCACCGATTGTGCCCCAACCCTCGCCGATGGAAATATCTGCGCTGGACGACCGCGACTCGCGTCGCCAGGCGCCGCCTCTGCAGCGGCCTCAGCTCAGACACTGCGCCTCTCCCGCGCGTGCACAGTCGCCGGCCCCGCCGACTCCATCGCAGAATCTCTCGCAGTTCTCTCTCGGTGGTGCCGCCCCAATCCAGGAATCAGACTCTGTGCGAATTTTTCAACTGCCGCGCACTACTCAGTTACAGAAGTGGCAACATATGGTCAGGGAAAATATTGGCAGCGCCTCCTGCCGCCCTGCCAAGGCGCGCGCATTCCTGCGTGTCGCCGAACAACCTAGCACTACATATCGAGGACCTACAAGACCGCGGGGATTTAGACAGCATCGATTGTATGCATGCCGCTGGACTGTCGGTTGATCTGGATACTGAACTCCGCTGCCGAATGAAGAACTTCAGAGCTCAAGAGCGCGCCGCCGGCCGCGCGTTGAAAGGTAGACGCATCGATTTGACGATGTCGCAATCCTGCAAGGTCACTGACGTCGACGACAGCACGCGCCACTTTGAACGTCTACAACTTATTCGCATGCGATACGAGGATCTCCAACGGTTCACTGTGGATTGGGACAATTTACTCTCTTGGAATGCCGTGAACCACTGGGCGCGAAAATATTCGAGTCATTGTTGCATTGTTCCGAGCCCAGATCCGCAGACATCTGCGGATGAAGCGGGACATGCGCGACTGCGACGCGATGAAGCCGAATGACCCCGGTCGCACCTGCGACTGGTTGCGAGAACGCGTTCTGGCCGACTTCGAGTTGCGCCGACTCGAACGCAACCCGGCGCGACCTCAAGAACGAGACAATTCGTTGCGAGCCAGCCGTCTGCGCTGCGTTCAACTCGGGACGTTGTAAAAACGGACAACGGCGTCAACTGCCGCGCGCAGGATCTGGCAGCCGCCCCGCGACGCGACCTCCACGGCGCGCGTCGACTGCCGGCAGGGGTGCCCGCGAAAGACGACCCTCCGCGGGGCGAGGCTCCAAGCCGCCACCCAAGGACGGAAATTGTCGTTTCGACTTCGCGAAACACGGCGCCTGCCCGCGACGAGATCGATGCAAATATCCACGCCTTGCCAAATTCAGCGGGCCCAAACTTACATTGCAAGCGCGGCAACAGCTGCCGATTCGCCCGCGCCAGCCCCTGCGCCAAGACCCCCGAGAGAAGCCCCAGTCGGACACGCAGCCAAGATAGCCGCAACAGGGCACCCTCCCGAGGACGCGCGGGGGGCAACGGAGACTCCCCAAATAGGGGGCGGCAGAGCTCAAGAAGTCTGGGGGGCACGCGCTGGCCACGCCGGGGAACGCCGCCCCCAGGGCGCGGGGGGCGGAAGGGCTCGCGCAGTCCGGGGGGCCGCAGATGGTCGCCGCGATCCCCGCAGCGCTCGCGATCATCGCCACGGGGCCGCAACCGCAACCGCCATCGAGGACGTCCCCTCGCCGGGAGCGACGGGCGCGGAAGCCGATCCGCATCCCGCGGCTACAGTCGATCATCTTCGACACGCTATATGAATCGCTCTCCTGCAGCGATGCGTTGCAGCAGACGACGGGATCGCGCGCGCGCGTGATCCGTGAAAAGATCATAGCAATCACAGACCCTCAAACAGGGCGCCTACGATTTGACCGTGACAACAGTGATGCCGTCACCGACGCTGTCCATGAGCGACGCCTTTACAAGTCAAAAGAACCACATGTCAACCAAGGTGGCCCCGTTGATGCACCCGACCCATTGCCTGAATGGCGGTTGGAAGACAGCGCTCAGGCGCTCCGCGTCTTGCCGGGCCGATGCTCAGCGATTGCGCGATGACCTCGCGATGCCTACCAGACTTACTACGGTGCCCGTCATGCCATCGCACATCGACACAGCGTCGGTGGCAACGCCCGCAACCGAATTTACAACGACGACACGGTCCACTGCAGCGTTGTCACGGACGTGGATCTTCGACAGTTGGTCTGCCAATCACATCCAAGGTAAGGCCGATCTTGCACCGCGAGAAACCACTGACATGCGCCAAGGACGCGAAGATATATTGGAAACAGCCACTGCAGACAGGATCGTCAATGGACACGTCCACTTGAAGCTACCACGCATTGGATTATCCATCTCAGGCCTAGTGCTGGATGGCTGCCCATCGGCACAATCTGTGGGGCAACTGGTACACGACGACGGCTTCCGACAAATCTGGGATCCACAATTGGGCCACTTACTACAGTACCCACATGGTCAATGGTACAGGGTCACCATCAATATCAGCATCCCAGAAGTTGACTTCAACAGTCTTGAACGGATTTCACCGCTTCAGTTGTGCACCGCGCAACGCACATCACGACGTCCACGACGAGTGCGACAGAATGGACATGATGAATCGTGCCCTGACATGTGTAGGTGCTGTGTGGATGGCACTTGTGCGCCGGTGGGCGCGCCCGCGTCTGCGCCATCAGAGAGCGACATCACGCTTCGCATTTCAGCGCTGGTGGGCACGCCCGCGCCCGCGCCGCTAGTGAGCGACCGAAC